TTGACCTACAATCACTCCTACAAGACTAGTTCCCTGCTACTGTGCAGAGAGGTTTCTTTACTGCACTGTCCTCATCATCCTTCTTCCTCCACACAGAGGTGAGAGACAAGCAATAACCTCAGTGACTTGATTGTCAACACAATCCACTCTGATACTAGCCCCTCCAACACTTTTTGGTGGAGAATAGTAGTGACTTCAAAATAACAATGGTCATTTGAAGAATGAGTAACTCATGATTCATAGTATGGGTAAAATTATAACCAGACATGCTTATACAATCAAATTAAACATACACAACGAATTGCAGTCATTTTTGAGCAATTATTTAGAGTTTTCAGTATCAATGCCTCCTCCCAGAGGAATTGATAATCAATAGTTAGTTCATCAGTATGGAAGACCAAGTGAGTATCCCTGCATCCTGATCTTCTTGGACTTGCCATCATATTCTTCCAAAAACCCTTTGATCCTTACAACTAGACAATTTTGGATTGCAGTTGAGTGGTTAGAATGTTGTAGACAGACTTTTAGTTTTCTTTACCAGTGAACTTATGGTCTGTATCTAAAAGTATAATGTTGCAGCAAGACGTTCTCACTTTGTTTCTTATGAGCGTCATCACACAGTGGAACACACATGGTCTGAAGGCATATGTCAGAGATCTTTTCCATTATTAAGTATGTGAAGGAAATTTTAATATTTCCAAAGTTTTTAAGTATAAATAAAAGTATCCAATACTCTCAATCTTTATTTGAACAGTAAAATGTGGGGATTAAAGTGTATAGTGAGATAACAAGAAGACTATATAGAGTGAAGATGAGTGGGGAAGCACCTTCCTGGTTGGGGGGGGGTGGGGGGGGGGGGGGGGGGGGGGGGGGGGGGGGGGGGATCCATCACATTTTTTTCATTAAAGTGTGTTTAATACTTAAGTTTAACAAGATTAATGGTCATTTAAAATTCAACTTAAACCTGTGACAATTTAAAATTTATTTGAAAAGTTGGTAGAAACCAAATGTATCTCTGTATATAAAGAACTCTAAAAGGAATATTTGAAGTATATGCAGATTTCATGTAACTACATAAACATGAGGAAAACCTGGATGAGTCCTTTCCTATGAAAATTCTGAATGATCTTTAGAAGTCTCTGAAACGTAAAATTACCTCTAAGAGCTTTTTAAAATAAATGTACATCTGAGTATGTTGGCACATTCCTGTAATGCCAACAGTTGGGAGATAAATGTAGAAAAATCATGAACCCAGTGTCAGCCAGAGCTTTATTGAGACTGTGTCTTCAAAAACAACAATCCATTAATTGATAATAATAAACTCATAGATAATTTACTGACATACCACCAATATAACAAATACCTAAGGTAATTCAAGTCATGAACCTGAGCAGTAAAGATTGAAATATTTTTGGACACAATAACAAGTATCTCCCTATATCTATGTATTCAGGGCTACATATGGTAAATTTTCATTTGTCCCAAATTGGGCTAAAATTTAATTTCTATACTTAAAAAATCTTATTTGTATTCCTGCTATTTCTTTAAAAACATTTTTGAATTTTCTTTTTTATGAATGTTTTTAATTATAATCTAATTGCATCATTTCTCCCATCCTCTCCCCAACTTTCTCCAGCCCTCTCAAATTCATGGCTTCTAAGTCTCCCAATCTCAATAGTAAATTGCTTCTAGGGTGTTTTAAAATAGCTGTAGTCTCTGGAAATCATGTGACAGGTGAAACTGAACAAACACCTGAATTTTGTCCATGTAATACCTCAATTTTCTGTAAAATAAGTAAAGAATAGGTTTCTCTATCACTGAGCCTAAATCTATGTAAGGAATGCCTAAAAATATATTTTACACATAGAAAAAAATGATCATTCGCTAGCTTTGTGTGTTCATAGGTTGTATTCAAATTATATCATTTATCTATTTTATTTAATTAAAAATTGTTTCATTTTACATTCCAACCCCATTTTCCTCTCCCTTCTCTTCTCCTGCCTCCCCACATCCTCCCATGCCACCTTCCATCCACTCCTCAGAGAGGGTAAGATCTCCCTTGGGGAGTCAACAAAGTGTAGGATACCAAGTTGAGGCAGAACCAAACCCCTCCCCCCAGAATCAGGCTGGACAAGGTATCCCACCATAGGTAATGGGCTCTAAAAAGCCAGTTCATGTACCTGGGATAGGTTCTGGTCCCACTGCCACCCCTGCAAAAAAAACAAAGCAAACAAACAAACAAAAAAACAAAAAAAAACAGATCGAGCCATATAACCAGAACCCATATTCAGAGGGCCTAGTTGGGTCCTATGCAGGTTCTCCAGTGTGACTCCAGAATCCATGAGCTCCCACTAGCTTAGGTAGGCTGTCTCTGTGGTTTCCCTGTCATGATCTGACCCCACTTATAATTTATCTTAATAACTTCATGAGAATTATCTTTATTTAATGGAATTGCTAGCAGACAGCACGATTGGCACAAAATACTTCTAACATCTGGATCTGCCTTATCTTTGTGTAACTCTTTGCTCTCTACTTGCTTAGAAATCTTTTTTTTTTATCTCTTAGCAATTCTGATTAGTCACAATAGCCAATGTTTCTGCTGCTTCATTGGCCAAACTAAATACCTAAAATAGCTTTACCGTGTATTCTCAGGTTTGCTCCAAATTTATTAAAAGTGACTATTTACTTTGTATTATTTCATTACTTAGTTATTAGATTATTAGTAACGACCAATATTCATAAATATTTATCAAGTGTATGCTCCAGTCAGATGGTTTAGTGTCCATATTTCTGAGTGACTAAGTCAACAAATTCTCTTTCAAAAATCCTCAATTTTGGGTCCCTGCATACAGGTTTTTAATTTTAGGAAAACAGCCTGTAAATGCTGCTGAGACAACTGCCCATTGCCTTCTCCATGGTGCTATTTGATGGAAAATAAAGAGCCCACATTGAGAGCGTTCTGAATCCAGCCCTGGCTGTGTGTACACACTCAAAATTAAACAAATTGGGGCAATTTACTGAAGGTTAAACCCTTCAAATGACAGCCACCTAAAACATGCAGGGAAATGGTTTGAGAGGCTTAAATGATCAATTTAATTTCCTCAACTCTCTGTTGCTTTACAAAGAGGCTCAGCTTTATCCATCTCCCTGAAAACTCTAAATTGTGGGTTTTCATACTTAACACGCTGAACCACATATACTTTCTATATTACCCAGGACTTAAAAAACAGCCCGCAGACCTCAATAAACTTCAGTTGCAAAATTGGAGTATTTGCATTTGTGATCTGTCTCTAGTTTTCTCTTCAATATCCAATACCATTCAGTTTGTCAGCATTTTATTTTTTCATCTGAAGTCACAAGGAAGGTTTTTTGAAAGAAGTCACTGTGCCAATCTTGTGCATAAGTTCTAACATGAAGTGGTGTTTCAAAAAAATTTTATTGCTATTAAAAATTATTTCTGTGTAGGTCCTGAAAAAGCCATGAGTGGGAGGAAAGTTTGTGTGTGAGCAAAGTGGCTCACTCAGTCCTGTCTATGCCTTCAGAGAGCATTTCCCAAGAAACCTGCAGCTCATGGTTCACTCTTGCCTCCGAGATGAGAGGGCATTACCAGGATGACATATTCTTATAGATAAATTCTGAAGTACTGATTTTTAAAAAAATGATTTTAACTAAACTTAAGTGATTGAGCTTTCACAACCTTTCGCTGACACTGACTTAGATCCAGTGGTGTTTTTTTCTCTTCCTGAACTGTACTGCCTATAAACCTTTTGATGTCTTAGAGCTTTTTCTTTGGCAGCTAAGAAAAACACTCTACAGAGTTATATTTAGTGAATTTACTCATGTATAAATACCCCAGAGCAACTCTATTATCCTGTGGCATCTGGAAGAAAGGTGCTATTGTTTTGGATCCCATGACTGAAGTATGGAATAATCAACTCTGAGAGACCCTGGGGATGAGATTCGCTCACATATCCTGTGGAAATTTATAATCCCTTAGGTTTTTTTTTGTTTGTTTGTTTGTTTTGTTTTTCCTCCAGATGAAGAAACTTGGATGAGTTTGTGCTTCGGCTCATCTGCTGACGGCTGTTCCTGGTCATCCCACTAGTGGTGTTTAACCACCACTTCTTATTTGAGGTTATTAACTTGAAGTTTTCTAGGAAAACAGCTATTTTGAGGTTCATTGTCTCACAACTATTGTTTTCTTGCTTTCTGTGTTCCTAAAACTAGATGGTTATTTTCCTTGTGACTTCCATACTCTGCAGTACACTCCTCACTATGTGTCTAGGATCTGTGTCACCAGACTTGGTTCTGACAGAGATGCTCCATAAATTATCAGAAACTCTGCTGCATTTCTTGCAATTTTGTTGAATTCCTCCATGAAATACCAGTGTAATTCCAGAAGATCATTATGGATTTGTGTGGAAGGAATTTATCCCATGCTTGAGGCTGACATGAGTGTGGTTTTGAATAAAGCAGATGTTGAGTGGAACTGTGCTCTTCTTTTACCTCTAACTTCTTTAATACAGTTTTTGTTTGTGTGTTTTGCCGCTACTTTATTCAAAGAATAAGAACAAACATCTCATGACTTTCTACCAGGAAGTGTTTAATGTTTAAGATGATTAAATTTAAAATCATTGCTGAAACATAACTTCCCTGAGAGTTCGTTCCCTGCTGCAGCTGCAGAGACCTTCATGATGGAATCCTATTTGTGAGGAACCTACAAAAAATTACACAAATAACTCAGATTTTAAATGACTAACACAGAGATGTGCACCTGCTTCAGCGCCTTCATACATTAATCTTGTGACCAATGGAAAAGCTCCTTGGAATTTAATTATATGGACACAAAATGTAATTGACTACACTTGGGGACCTGATGTCATCAAAATGTTCATCCGTTCTTGGAGCAGGCCTCTGAGGATGAGATTGTTCCCTTTGCTTCTGTGCTACTCACTGTAAAGTCCTCACATTCTGCCCATATTCTCTCTCCTGTCTTGCAGCTGGGGCCTCTTGAGGAAGATGTCCTCCACCAGACCCTGAATGCGAATGCTGCCACTTCTTTGCAGAGGGTCACCGAAATCCAAAGTATGTCTTCGGTTTCTTTTTCATCTTTTGCTAGGTCAGGTTCATTGGAATTCTATTGGGAATTAAAGCACAAAGAAACAGAATTATTTTATTTTGCACATAGATCTCCATTGAAATGTCTTGCTTTCCTGTCTGTGATAATCTTATCTTACACCGCTGTCATAACTCAGAATCTAGAGTTGGAATCATTTTTGTCTCCTACTTTCTATGTACTTAAGATCATTTCAAACACCAAGAACTGACCTAGAGCAACTAAATTTAGAAACTCCAACAGCATAAACTGTGTAGTGATTTTTAACTAGGAGGAAGTCATCTCCTAAATGAGTTGAGATTTGCCACTCATGTTCTTCCTTTGAGTTTGTCAAGGAAGGAAAATAAATAGAGCGTCCCATTATGAGCAAGTTCAACTCTGGCAAACAAGGTAAGCTGGTCTTTTTATTAGGCAGTTACCTTCACAGCTATCAATCTCCCCCACTATAGAGTAACGTTAAGGTTAGAACAAAGACAAATGCCAAATGGCAAATGTAGGTTCTAAGGATAGTCAAGAAAACCCATAGCTTTGCAGATTTTCCATAGAAGCCTGTTTTCCATATGACTGAAAAACTTTTACCGTATCTTAGAGTCCATCTTGTCTTAAACAATGGTGACCAGGAGATGAGGGTGTGAGGTGTGTTGTATTACCATTCTTTTGGGACCAATGATGTCATTCACAAACTCAAAGTAAACCTCCACTTGAATCTCACACATGCCTGGAATGTGGGCTATAAGCATTCACTGAACCTTATTGACTCTCTATTACTGGAATAAGTGATGAATTTCAGAGATTTTCAGAAAATGGAAAAATAAATATCAAATACTATAGAGAAAATTACTGGAATAAAGCTAAATCACAGGAGTTGACTGCCTCCAAAGACAAGCTTGGAGATGCTTGCTCAAATCTGACTCTTGTTTTGAGAGGAGATAAGGAGGGTCATGTGAATGCCACCCTGTGTCACTCAGAGGGACTTTTTGGGTGATCTCTGACAGGCTGCTCCTGTTCATCCAGATCTTATCCAAAGTCCCTGTATAGGATATTGACAATGTAAAGAGAGCTCAGTCTTTGGGTGTTTTGTTTTCTTTTCCAAGGATTCTTTTGCCACTACACACACAGAGCATTTGTAGAAAATGCTTCCTGTGTATCTTCAGAGTATAACAGTAACACTACAACAGGCATGTGTTGATCAGTTGTCAAGTCACAAAGATTGGGAAAAGGGAGTGTGGAGGGAGAGGAGGAGAAGGAAAATAAAGAAGATAAGAACAGAACTAGCAGAGTTTCTGGCTTCAGGGATTTTGCATTCTGCTTGGTGAAGGAGTATAAAATGTCTAAGTCCAGCTCAGTGTTCTCTGGAGGCACTGAGGCCATGGCAAAGAAGCAGCTTCTTTCTTCAGCAGAGAAGAGGCTTGCAGTGTGTGAACTGAGACAAGGGAGGAGGTAGATTTGAGGAGGGGACTCCTCAGTCTTCAGTGCCATGGTGAAGCTGTGTTGTATCAGCTCCTAGCGAAGAGCTCATGGTCTGTCCATTCAGGGTGATTTTCTTCATGAATTTTTCCACCAAATGACAAACAACTCCAGGATGATTAATGTATCCCTAGCTTCCATGGAGCTGTTCTTAGTCTAAGGCCAAGTCAGGGAACCTGTTTAATAGTTATTACTTAAAGAAAGGGTGTATGGTCCTTCTTTTCTCTCTTCAACAGGACTCCCAGAGCTTACCAGGGGAGTCTAGGTCATGACAGAGGAACCCACAGAGAAAGCTGACCTGAGTTCAAAAGAGCTTATAGACTCTGGACTGACAGCCAGAAAGCCTGCACTGGACCAACCTAGAGCCTTTGTATGTGTGTGACAGTTGTGTAGCTTGGTCTGTCTGTGGTGCTACTAGCAGTGTGATCAGGATCTGTCCCTGGGGCTTGAGCTGGCTTTTGGGAATCCAATCCCAAACCGTGATGCAGGGGAGGAACTTGGTCCTGCTCCAACTTGATATGCCATTCTTTGTTGATTCCCATGAGAGGTCTGCCCCTTTCTGAAAGGAGATGGAGGAAGAATCAGTGGCTGGGGTGGGTAGAAAGGATGTGGGGGTAGAGAATGGGAGGGAAGGAGGGAGGGAAGATTATGGTTAGTATGGAAAACAAATGAAAAAAAATAATAAAGAATAAGAAAGGGTGTATGTCACAATCCAGCCAGAGAGAATTGGGCTTCATGGCCCTTTGGTCTGTGGTCATGCAGACTCCATTCTTGGAATGCCCATGTTTGGGTCAATATTCTCCCTGTTGCTGCCTTGAAGTCTTAGCAAGTTTTTAACAGGAGAGCCACATGTTTTTACTGGGACCTTCAAGTAACATAACCATTTCCAATGACAAATTTCTGATGATAAAATAACTCATTAGAAAGAGTAATATGAGTATCACCCACACTGGAAATTAAATCATGGTTTAAAGAAATGAATGGTGTTGGGATTAGGTAGTAAAGGGACAGGCAAAACCAAGTCTGAAGGTGATTTTTTTTAGCACCGGGAGAAGTGGAAATCTGTCCAGACAGGGTCCTTCTGCATGGTGGCCCTGACACTGCTGCATTTCCATCGACTCTAAGTGTGTGTGTCCTTTAGGCTGCTCTTTCCAGCTAAATGGATGAGAAGAAAATGAGGCTTGCCTATGTAACAGCAAAGTAAAGTGGGTATTTTAAGGTCTGAAACTTCATATTGATTAGGGAAATGAAACCAGGGGGTTGGAGTTTAATACACAATACTCAGTTTCTTACAAAATATACAGGCTGTATTCTTTTCTTTACTTCTCCCTAGTCCAAATCACACTTCTTCACACTAAGTGCCCTGAAATACGCTGGACCCTTGATCAGGCTCTCCATTTCTGGTTCTGCGTGGAAAAGAGTCAAACCTGGCTACATAGCTTTGGAATTTTTTTTTAAGGGGAAACATATGACCCTTTCCTTGTTAGAACATTGCTAAGAATGTTGAGTCCACAGCCGAAAAGTGGTGGGAACAGGAGTCCTTCTGAGACCATAGACCTCACACCTAGGAAATGAACCTAAAAGTAGCCTTTCTAATATGGATCTTTGAGCCTCACAAGGGTCCTTCCTTCAGCACAAGGAGGTGTTTGAATTTTAGCCCCACTTTTAGCACAGGTTCTAAAGGATTCTTCTGTGCTGTAGTTTGGAGCTATGTAAATGTTAGGAAGTAGGCCCTACCATGTGGGAAACATCTAGGCAAGTTCCTAGAGAGTTCTATCCCAAGACACACAGAAAGGTGCTGACAGGCCTTCTGTGAATTTCTTTTTGAGAACTGAGCCCCCCAGCTGAGGGTATGCAGGTGCTGGACGCTGTGATTAGCATTGGCCCACTGCCTGGACACATGCCTTTTTGTATTTTCCAGCAGGATCATCCCTGTGGCCCTATTCTTGTTTAGGTTTTTCATTTAGCTCAAGGGCAGAAGGGCAGTCACTTGCCCTGACAGGTGGAGCAATCCCCCCATCCAGATATATTACAGGCTACTTACATTTCATGATAATGGATTGTATATAAGGGTCAACTGTCTTTGCAAAGAAGTGGGAGTGTATGGCTAACAGTATATCTTTTAAAGTTTTATTATTTCTTTAAAAGTTGAAAGCAAAATCACCATATATATTATTTGATAACATCACTACTGGATATTATCAAAAGTCATTTGTTAAAACATCTGAAAGCATTAGCATTTACATGTTCATCACAGCATTATTCAGAATAGTCAAGAGATAGGAGCGAAGCCTGAGTGTCTATTGGTGGAAGAATGGATAAAGAAATGTGATGTGTAGAGGCAAAGGAAGAGTATTCAGTTTTCAAGAGGAAGCCCCGTAGCATGTGCTCACTGAGTTTTCTGTTCTTTCACAGCACAAGTTATTTCACTGATATTTTTGCTTGTTTTTCCTTAATTGTTGAAATTTTGTGCAATGACTAGCATGACCAGGTGCTTTGCAAATACTTGAAAATAAATTAGTAGTTACTTGTCCCATTTCATTTTTATTTAGACTATATTGCTTTTTTAAGGTAGCTTAATATAATTATACCTGCCAAGCATCCTTGCTACAGAGGAATTAAGAAGAACCAACAAAACACATGGAGCACATTTCTTTTTGCTTTACATCCCACAAGGATGAGTCAGTCCTTCTAGGAGGATACAAACTACTTTTTTGTGGTGCCACTTCCCAGCTAATCTTGGAAGAGACCGATTTCATATTTGAGTCTGGGACTTGTTTGCACAGAAGTAATCACCAGTAAATGTGGCCAGGAAATGCCAGGCCAGAGTTCGTTCTTTCCTAAAAGCTGAACTTAATCTTAGAATACCTATTTGACACTGAAGTTCCCCACACTACGGTGTGGCATGGTAAGAAGCAGAATCTTCTAACCATTCTTCATATACCAGTGCTGGCCCATGGTAACAGCTTCACTAAGATTAGGATGGAAGAAGGATGAACTTTTTCCATAAAATAAATTAATTGTTTCAAGCGTAAAATTTTAAGTTCTAAAACATAACAAATAATACTGATTTTCATGTGTGAAAGCCCAAAATATGAGAAGTTTAAGTATAGAGATATGGTATCTCTTCACTAAATGTTTTAGTGAAAATACCCTTTACAAATGACAATCAACTTTGTAGACCTCTTATGTGATAACCACAGTATCTTTGATTTTAGTGTCAAGAAAGTATATGCATGACCAAGGATTTGAGGATTCTTTTTCATAATTGCTGCAACCATCTAGTGGTTTGGAGCTGACAAGCTGAAAAACACTAAGTGGAGAGCTTTTAAATGATATAGATCCCTCTGTAATCCTCTCTTCTATTCACCAGCCACATGACCATTGAGCAAACCACAACCTCAGTTTTCAGAATGCACATAGAAGCCAACATCACCACACTGCCTTCTAAATTGGTGCTACTGGCAGGCAGGGAGGGAGGAGTCAGAGGATAAGAAATAAA